CTGACTTGATCTGACCTATATCTGACTCCAGTCCTGCACCAAGCAAGATTGATTCTTTAATTGTCCTCTTAATTGTGATGAATTCTACTTTGCAAAAAGTCTGTATTTGTGAGATGTCCCTTTAAATCCAAAGACAAATTTGGGTAATTCTGAAAAGGTGAATAATTGGAGTTCCTGTGTAGGACATCACTTTTGAGTGAACATAGATAGCTCTAGAGTCATCCAGCATGGAAACAGACCCTTTGGTCCATCCAGTCCATGCCGAACATAATCCCAAACTAAAGTAGTCCCGCCTACCTGCTTCTGGCCCATATCCCTCCAAATCTTTCTTAGTCATGTACTCATCACGTAATTGTATCTGCATCCACTACTTCCTTAGGAAGTTCATTCCACACGTGAACCATTGTCCATGTTTAAAAAAAAAAATTGCTTCTTATGTCTTTTTTTTTCTAATCTCTCTCCTCTCACCTTAAAAGTGTGCCCCCTAGTCTTGAAATCCCCCATCCTTGGGAAAAGACAACTACAATTAACTCTATCTAGATAGAGTTTTTATAACCTTCTATCAAGTCACCCCTCAACCTTCCATGCTCCAGTTTAAAAAAAATGGTCACAGCCTATCCAGCCTTCATTGTAACTCAAACCTTCCATACCCAGCAACATCCTGGTAGATCTCTTATGAACCCTCTCTAACTTGATAATATCCTTCCTAAAATTGGGCATCCATACCTGGAGACAGTATTCCAGAAGAGGCCTGACCAATTTCCTGTACAAGCTCAATGTGACTTCCCAACTGGTATACTCAAAGGACTGAGCAATGAAGGCAAGTGTGCCAAACGCCTTTTCAGCCACCCTATCTATATGTGACACAAACTTCAAAGAATTATGTACCTGCACCCCTAGGTCCCTCTGTTCTACAACACTACCCACAGTCCTACCATTAATTGTATAAGCCCTACTCTTGTTTGTTGTACCAAAATGCAATACCTCGCATTTATCCAGACAGAATTCCATCTGCCATTTTTCAGCCCAGTGACCCAGTTGATCAAGATCCCTTCGTAATCTTAGAAAACCTTCTTCACTGTCTACTATGCCATCAATTTTGGTGGGAAAAATCTACACTATAGAGACTGAAGTAATCCAAGTGAGACTTTGGAAGATGTATGCCTTATCTGTGTAAACCATATCTGGAGACCTCAGTGAGAGAAGTGGGAAAAGCAAGAGATCCTACATACTGGATGCTGATTTGGAAAGAGTGAGAGATTGTATATGGTGCTGCTTTTGTGTGGGGAGTGGTGAGTGCTTGTAATTTCAAATGGCATATCTTTGTGTCAATAATTCTAAGCCTAATTATTTTTCAATGCAATGCAATTGATCTGTTCATGCATCCCTAATTTTATGTTCATTTTGAGTTTGATTTCTAAAAAGTAAATCATTCATGTGGTATGAGTGTTGTTGGTTGAGTCATTGTTTATTGCTCATCCCTAGTTGCCTTTAAGGAGGTAGTGGTGATCTGCCTTCTTGAACCACTGCAGTCCATGTACTGTTGGTAGACCCATGATGCTGTTAGTGTGGGAATACCAGAATGTTAACTCAAAGACACTGAAGGAACAACGATAAGTGAGGATTGAGAGTGGCTTCTAAGGTTTTAGAGTAGATTTGTAGCTCAGGTTGCGGACGTTGTGGTTGGTTGGCTCGCCAAGCTGGTTTGTTGTTCTGCAGATGTTTCATAACCCTGCTGGGTAACATCGTCAGTGCAGTCTCCGATGAAGCGCTGTTGTGTTTTCCCGCCTGCCATTTAAACTCTGATGCCAGTTGAGCTGGATTACCTCCCTTCCGGTTTTCCTTCGCAATGGAGTGTATATAGGCTCTAGCTCTGTGTTTATGGATGGATTTCTTAGTGGAGAACCAGGCTTCTAAGAATTCCCATGGCTTGTAGCTGGTGGTGTTGCCATGTATCTGCTGTCCACATCCTTCTAGACAGAAGTGGTTGTGGGTTGGAAGGTGCTGTCTAAGAAACATGAGTGAATTTCTGCATTGCTGCTGCTGAACATCAGTGGTGGAGATAGTGAATGTTTATGGATGTAGAGAAATCAAGTGGGCTGCTTTACACCGAATGGTGTCAGACTTCTTGTTGAAGCTGCACTCATCCAGACAAGTGGGGGGCATTCCATCATACTCCTGACATGTACATGGGCAGGCTCTGACCTACACTTGTAGCCACTATATTTATATAGCTAATCCAGTCCAGTTCAGTTTTTGGTCAATGGTGTTTCCTCCACGATGTTGACAGGGGATTCAGTGATGGTAACGCCACTGAAAGTCGTGGCGTAATGGTCACTATTCAGCCAATCTTGATGCATTTAGACTTGGACTGCTTCAGAATCTGAGGAGTCAAGAATGGTGCTGAACATTGTGCCATCATTGGTGAACATCCGCACTTCTGACCTTATGATGGAGGGAAGGTTGTTGAGGAAGTGGCTGAAGGTAGTTGGGCACTATCCTGGGGAACGGGGTTCTGCTGGTTCAGTGGCAGTGTCCCCATGTCTGAGCTAGGAGATTCGGGCTCAAGCCTCACTTGCTCCAGAGATATGTAATGATATTGCTAAATAGTTTGATTAGAAAATGTCTATCTTGAGGAACTGGCTTCTTGTGGTGCATGGTAATGTCCCTATCTGTGAGCCAGGATGCCGTGGTTCACATTCCATCTGCTTAAGAGGTGTATAATAACTTATCTGAGTGGCTGATTTAGAAAATATATTCCCTGAGGAAATCCAGGAGGCCTGGGTTCAAGTTCCACCTCTTCCCAGGTGTAATAACATCTCTGAAAATGTTGATGCAAAAATGTCTACCCTGAGGAACTGAAGTGATTTTGTGGCACAGTGGTAGTGGCACCTCTGAGCCAGGCAACCCATGTTCAAGTCCCAACTGCTCCAGAGATGTATAATAACATCTCCTGAACAGTTTGTTTAGAAAATATCTACCATGAAGCACTCCCGCAGAGATGTCTTGCAGCTGAAATGACTGACTTCTAACAACCGCAGCCATTGTTACCAGGTATGACTCAAACCAGCAGAGAGTTCCCCCCCCAGATGCCATTGATTCCACTTTTGTAAGTGCTCCTTGATGCCACAGTCAGTCAGATACAGCCTTGATGTCAAGGGCAGTCGCTCTTGCCTCACCTCCTAGAATTGTGCTCTTTTCTCCATGTTTGTACCAAGCCATTAATAAGGTGAGGAGCTGAGTGGCCCAGGTGGAATCCAAACTGAGCCTCAGTGAGCAAATTACAAGTGCTGTTATAGTAAAAATTTCAAAAACCGAGATTTTGTCCATCACTTTGCTTTCGGTAGCGTTGATTGGGGATTCCTTTTTGTGTTATTGGTCTCTGTAGGAAATTAACACAATGGACTCCATGATATTACTACCCGCTCAGAGTAACTTGAGCATGACATTCGCAAAAACCTTTCTAAATTCGTAGTAGAAATTAAGATGTGCCGATCGCTTCAAGCCAGTGGCTTCTTTCTGTGCTGTAAAGCAGCCCTCTGAACGTCCAACAGGAGTTGTACAATGTTTTCAGTGAAGTACGAATAAATATTAAATCGGAAATTTCTAACCTGATGAAGCATTTTTAATTGATTTCTTTCTTTCACTCACCATTGCGTATTTTGAAGCAGACTTTGGACTTGCCATTCAAATGTGAGCCATTATTATTTTCTTATAATTAAGTCAAAAGTTTAGCCTTTTCGTTACGCAGTACTTAGAGGAATTAGAATATAGTAACAGGTTTGGTGCAGAAATATCATTTATCATCATTGTTTTTTCTCCAACTTGACATCTGTTAGATAATGAGTTTTGAAGGGTGATGCAATGCAAAGGTATTTTATTTACGTTCGATGAAAAGCTTTTGAATGTGACCAAAAATAATTACAACATTACTGTTAGAAAACTCAACTTGCCACTTGATTGCTGTTGCAAATGGTTGAAAACTTGCTGTTTTAGCTAAGGGATTTAATTTATTCTATCTTCTAATAAAACTATTGCAAAACATGTTTACCTGTGTGCTCCAGATTTACGCAATATTATAACTTAAACAGCCTGATCATCTGCCTTCTAAACGTTTTGTCATTTTAAGTCCCAGAGTTGCCTGTCAGTCAAGTTGACTTAATGCAACTTATCCTTTAAATGATTTTCTCAAATCCCTAAAACAGAATACCTGTATACCTTACTTACTGATGTTCCAACAAAATGTGGAGTGATAGAGAATTCTGTCTGTATTTGAAATGTTATCATGCCATGAGCTCTTGATTTAAATGACCATAAGTGGTAGCTCAGTGGATTCTAGTCTCGGCAACAAAAACAAGAGACCCCTTTCACTTGTTCTAGGGTGTTAATTAAATCCCATCTTCTACTGGGAACTCTTTGAGTTTCACCAAGAGCAGCAAAGCACATAGAGTATCCACTTGCAACTTCGGTCAACCCCTATAGGCAACCTAGGAATGAAAACAGACTGGCACGTTGTTCTCAGCTGACCTGCAGTCCTATTTACAAAAGGAGATAGTTGCAGCCAGTCCTCAACCCGTTTTTGACCAACAACACTAAAGAAAAGAGATAACACAGTGTGGAGCTGGAGGAACACAGCAGGCCAGGCAGCATCAGAGGAGCAGGAACGCTGTTGTTTCAGGTTGGGTCCCTTTTTCTCACTATCTCTAACACTAAAGAAAAGGTTCAATTTGAACTGAGTGTTTGTCTAATATAGTGCTATGTCTAGGTTGAAAGCTTATTCATACATCACAAACTAGTTTTAGTATTTAAGTAGCAGCAAATATAATCTTAGAGGAATGTTAAAGCATTTTCATTTTGTATCTTTTTTTAAATATTTGAGGTTTGTTTTGTATTCTGTGTAATTAGAAATTTGCGATGTCCTTCAATATTAACGTTAAAACCATTAGGAATCTCAAGAATATCTTCTCACACCTTCGCATTTTTCTTTATTAAGTACTGAAGACAGTGATGGTTCCACAAGTTTTAGTATCCCTCTGATCCTCACCAAGTGGCCATCATTCTTCTCGTAAGTCTGAATCCTATGAATTTTGGCAGGTTGTCTAAATGTAGCTTAGGAATGCTGGATAGCAATCTGGAATAAGAATTATGGTTAATTTTCACTTTCCTATCCAACAGACTGCTGACGGCATCCTGGCTGAAGTCCACTTACTTGACATGGATGTGGAATCAAATTTGGAATCTTGTAATTGGGTAGTGGTTGCAATTCATACTTATTTGGCCATTGGGGAAACCCTCAAAAGTCTAAAGGCGAACAAATATGTCTGCTCTTTTCCCTTGTTTTGAGTCAGCTTTCCTTTTGAGTAAAGCAATTAAAGTGCACAGCTGCTTAATTAAACTTTCAGAAAGTTGCTGGTGATTGCTGTCAGCATTTCCCAGTGGAACATGATCATTATCATTTAATGCACCTGGTAATGACTTTCTCAGTGCTCAAATACTTCATTTTTGTCATCTTTAAACTATATTCAGATGAAAAGAAATATTAGGGATGACTGTTTGAGAAGGGAACCCCTCACCCAGCAGTTTTCCCAAAACATTCCCACACTTTAAACATGGAATAGTGAAGTAATTAACACCAAAAGAAAATGTTCACAGAGGACTGCACCCAGCACCATTTCAGAAGTGCGGACATAATGAATGTTAAGTCTTTCCTTTTTGATAGTTCATGTTTTATGATTTTACACTCAATCACAAAATTGCTGTAGCACAGAATGAGGCCATTCAGCCTGTCACGTCAGCGCCAATGCTTTGAGCATTTCACCTAATATCACTACACCACCTTTTACCATTAATTGACACTTTTGTTTTATTCAATTGTCTCCACAACGCAATCAGCACATTCCAGATCCTAACTACTCACTGTGTGGAAAGCCTTCTTATCTGTCCATTGCTGCTTTTATTTTACCTCCCACATGTTCAAACAGAAGTAGGTTACTCACCACTTCTGGTGAGGGCTTGGCGTGCAAATCTGAACCAAGTTGACATTAGGTGAGGAAGTATCAAGATAGGAATGTGTTAGTTTCTATTGTTTACATGTTAATGCAAAACTTCCTCATATCAGTTGTCATATTATTCAGATACAAAATAAAGCATTTTTCCACCCATCCTAATAACGTACTTTTTGCTGCTGTTTTGGAACAACATACCACTGCAGAAATTTGGTTTCTTTTTTGGATTTCCTTAAACAATTGCTACTACCTTTCTGACTCAGTCTCCTTTTTTGTGTGTCACTTTATGCTGTGTAAGTGCCTAATGTTGTGTTATAGATCTGGAATGTGACTGACCAGGACCTCCTACATTGGACTTCTCCAGACCTTTGCCAAGTGTTTGGATTTAGAAGTTTTACCAAAAACATTTTGTGGCAAGCAGTGAGCTGTAGGATTTAAAACACAGTGTGAGGTGAAGAACATTTTCATTACATTACAATCAGTGAATATAGTATGTTCATAGGCATGTAAATAAATTGATAATCATATAGTCCAAAATCCACAATTTTAAATTTACAGCCTTCTGTGTTGAGAACTGTTAGGTTTGCCCACTGAATCATAGAATCACACACTACAGAAGAGGCCCTTCAGCCCATCACACCTGCATTAATTAAAAACTGCTTTAAATTAATGCTGGTCCTGCTTTCCAAAATGTTATGACATTTAAAGTGATCAGCCAAGAACTTAAAGGTTGTGAGGTTTCCTGCCTCAACTACCCTCCCAGGCAGTGCATTCCAGATTCCCATCACCATCCGGGTAAAAAAAATGTTTTCCTCAACTCCCCTCTAAACCTCCGACCTTACACCTTAAAACTATGCTCCCTTGCATTCCAGGCAACATTGTGGTGATTCTCCTCTGCATTCCTGCCATTGCAGTCACATCCTTCCCATAGCGCAGTAACCAAAGCTGCACACAGTACTCCAACTGTGGCCTCATTCAAAGTTTTGTATAGCTGCTCATCACCTACTTGTTCTTATTATCTATGCCATGACTGATAAAGTCGTGTCCCATATGCTGCCTTAACTACCGTATTAACCTGTTTTGTCGCCTTCAGGGATATGTGGACAAGCATCCCAAGATCCCTCTCTTCCTTTGTGATTCCTTGTGCCCTGCCATTCATAAGTATTCCCTTGTCTTGTTACTTCTTCTAAAGTTACTTTTCAGGTTTAAGTTCTATCTGCAACTGACATGCCTATCTTTACGTCCCAGCCTATCTTTATAACTCAAACCCTCCATTCCTGGTAAATCTTCGCTGTACCCTGTCCAAGTTAATGATATCTTTTCTATAGCAGGGCAACTGGAACGGCGCACAGTATTCCAGAAGAGGTCTCGCCAACGTCCTGTACAACCTCAACATGATGTCACAACTCCTATACTCAAAGGTCTGAGCAATGAAGGCAAGCATGCCAAATGCTGCTTTAACCATCCTGTCTACCTGTGATGCAAATTTCCAAGAATTATGCACTGGAATCCTGAGGTGTCTCTGTTTCACAAAGTATCCAATACTGTACCATTAATTGTATAAGTCCTGCTGCTGTTTGTTTTACCAAAATGCAAATGAAACTGTCTGCTTCTGAGGACTGTTGATGCTCAAGACTGAGGTTGACAGACTTTTGAGTACTTGGGGATGCAGAAAGGTAGATTTGTGATCTTAGTCAGCCAGGCTATTTTTGAATGGGGCAGCAGGTTCAAGGATCCATATGTCCTACTTTTGCTCCTACTTCTTTTGTGTTTGTAAAATTTTGGGAAAGGGGATGGTTGAAAGATGGGAAATGAACAAATTTGGATCGTCGGAGAAATGAAAGGAAACAGCAAGTTCAAGCTTTATGCTTTTCAATTGAAATAAGCATCTGACCTTTCATCTTCCAACAAAATATAATGGAAAATTTTGGAGTTTATTTGTGAGAATAATAAATGTGTCCATCATCTGGTTCGCAATAGATTATTAATACCTAGTGGGCAAGCATCATTTAAGATAGTTTTAAATTCCTTCCTTGACCAGAAAGGTTAGACCTTAATATTTTTCACTATAGGATCTTTATGTAATGAAAACTGTCAACCTGTGAGAGGATTTATATCAAAAAAAGAGCCAAAAAAAGTCATACTTCAGTGGCATTTTGATGTGTATAGGGACTGCTTAAGGATAACAAATGGAATAAAATAGCTCCTTAAGCCCCTGGCTTGGAGAGGAGAAAAATCAGGTAGAGTTCCTATTCTTCTGCATTATCCAGCAACTGTTGCTGGAAAGCAAAATGAACACCATGAACAAAGAAACAGGCTTCACTGCTTTAGTTGTTCCAGTGCTTCAGTGCCAGTTGTCCCTTGCAGCCCAGGGCAGGGTAATAATAGATGGTGTCTTCATTACTCGCTGTATTCTTTTAAAATCAGGATTGGTATTGTCAGGAGAGAAGAACAGTTGCAAATAATTGAAATATTAAACAAAAAGAAAAATTTGCAGCAGCAATTTAGGGATTGCATTTGGCTGGAGAATTTGGTCAGGTCTAAAGTAATATTGTGATTGGAAGAAGTTTTGTGCAGGCCAAGATTTCTCCCTCAACCAACATCACTAAACACACTCTCTGATCATTATCACATGGATATTTTTGGTACCTTGTTTTGTGCAAATTAATGCCATGTTTTCCAGACTTTAACAGTAGCTATATGCCAAAATAAGTTCTTCAACTACAAAGAGCTTTTGAGACATCCAAGATCATGAAAGGTCCAAAATAATTTCAAGTTCTTTCTTTGCGTGAGTTTACTGTGTTTTGTTTCTTGATACTTTGCAAGGAAGAAGGTATGCTGTAGAAAGAGAGCCCCTTTTTTTGTCCTTGGTTTGAAATTGAACCTTTTGAGAGAGGTCTGTTTCTCTGAGATTGTAAATACACGAAAGTTGTTATGGAAGCCGTCCATTTGGTATGACAAGCTCATGAGTACATCATCTAGGCTGTTAGGCAAGCCCATTTTTAGTGCTGTCATTTACATAAGACATTAAGTGGAGACATTGGACTTCTTCAATGGATGGTAAAGATCACATGGTTTTATTGAAAAATCATGATGTTCTTCTAGAGTCCTGGCTGAAAACAAAGCTATCTCAAAGTTTTGTAGCAAATGACTGACTTGTTTGTGTTGTAATTACAGATTAAGCTATTGTGCAAGAATTATTTGGGATGGTCTGGAAAGATGCCATAAAACCCTGTATAAATGCATATTTGTCTTATTTGTGGATTAGTTAATGATATCCCGTTAATGCTACTTGCTTCAGGACAGGAAGTAGAAACCTGGGAGGGGGAGAATTGGGGATGTAATTTCTCTTATCAATAATTAAGTGAAAAGCTGCTGTAATTTCTTCACAAGACATATAAAACCTAATGGCAGGATTTTTTGCAATGCTGAAGTGTTCAAAGAGCATTGGATGTAGTTCAGAAAAGAGGGACAAGCATGATTTGGGAACTTGGTGCTTGGAGTTATTAAAATGGGCTTTCACCATTTGATTAGTTTTCAGTAAAGAAGTGAAGATTGAAGGGAGATTTGGTTGAGGTATTAAAGTGCTTAGAGACATGATGATGGATCCAAGCAATGTATTTGACTAGGATTGTGAATGCAGAATTATAGGAGTTGAATATAAAATGAATGAGTTTCAAGTGAGACTTGATATTTGAAGAAACAATTTTACTCACTGAATTAGGGTTATAAAGAACGAGTGAAATGGCTAATGCTGTGATGATTAACCATGCCAAAGAAGAACTACATAAATATCTGGTTAAGAATGGAATTTCATGTAAGAAGAAAAAGTACGAACTGAAATGATTAAATCCAATTACCATTGAATACTAAGCGAAGGTAAAAGTTGAATATGATTTTCAAGGTTAGAAAGATTGTCAGTGTACTATGGGCCTCAATATTAGCATGCTGTCTGCGTAAAGTGTTGTTCAGCCAACAATATGTATGGCTACCAGATCCAAATTATATTGCTGATTGCACCTTGTAATTTGCTATACCCTGTCCAAACACATTGGGAGGACAGTCCGATTTGCATGGGCGGCTAACTATAAATGTTTTAGTGGCACCTACAAATTTAGAAATTATGTTTAAATACAAAGTATAATTCTTTGTAAGTTGTGAATAAAAGTGATACCAGCACTAATTCTTGTGGAACACTACTTTCCACTCTGCCGCTGTGTATAACTACCCTTACTTTGTCTCTGCTTCCTGTCTTGAAGCTAGCTGATAATACATTCTGTCACTTGTCTCCAACCTGGCTACATTATAGAAGAGCTTATGAAAATCCAGTAAAATTGCATCTACTGCATTACCATTATCTACCCTCATTGATGATGCCTCCCCAGAAAAATTCCATAAAGTTGATCCCTTTTGACATTTATACTTTTTTTTTTAAATTTCTCACCGTTCTTCTATTCTTTGCTTTATCCTGGATTCCATTATTCTTCTTATTACCTCTATTGACCTGACTGGCTTATAATCCTCTGGCCATGTTCTGTTCCCCTTTTTTAAGTATCGGAATAACCTTAGCTGTCTAAGAGCCCTCTAACACATTTTTCTAATGTTATTTAAGGTGTAGAAGGTTAGCATTTATAGCCCATCTCTAATTGCTCATGGGGAAATAGTGATGAGTTAACACCATTGAAGTGTTGTAGTACCTTTGATGCAGGTACACCCACCATGCTGTCAGGAAGAAAGTACCAGGATATTAACCTAGCAATACAAAAGGGATGGTGATTATAGTGATTGCAGTAACTATTACTGAGTAAGTTTTCCAATATAGTAAGATTCTCAAACAACGCCCTTGTTAAAAGACAAATTCAGAAAAACAGATAGGATTACACATTAGGCAAGAAAGAAATACATGCAGCAGGTCTTCAGTGAGAGAGAGGTCTTTTCCTCCTTCAATCTCAGTACACACCCTCTACCTAACGAAAGCAAAATCTGGAAAATCCTAGGTCTGTGTGTATCTCCACCCACTCATGCTCTATTGTTCCAAGTTTTAAAAAAATACAAAGGCCTCACAATTTTGTTTATCTTCTCACAGACTGCTTGTTACCCCAATCTCTTTCTAAAAGAAACCAGGACAAAACTCACCTCTTAAAGCCACAGTATCGTCACGCTTGTTCGAGTTTCTGTGTTCTATACCTATACAGCATAATGGCAAACAAGAATTGTTTTTTCTTTCATTCAAATCCATTTTTGCATTGTAAATGAACTGCCTGGTGCTACTTCATTGTCTCGAGGGTGTGGGTATGTATCAGTGAATAGGTTGAAGTATTATATGTATAACTGAAGCATTATGTAACTTCAGTCTCAGACTTGCATCACGTAGATTTATGGTTCTGTGTTCTATTTGCTTTGTTGATTTAATCTCCACGGTGACTTCATTAGAAGTGAAGTTT